CGATCAAGACTTTCGAACAATGAGTTTTAAGCAACGAGAAGCTAAGTTAATAATATTGAAAGCTGAAATGCAAGAATCACGTAAGTTTAAATAATATTAATTTTATAAATATTTATTAATTATATTAAATAAAAGAAAACTTAAATAGGTTTTAAAATATTAATAAAGATGTTTCGTTTAAAATGCGACAGCTACGGTACGGAAAGTCTTTAAATTACGAAAGGCATTTAAAAAGTAAGTTAATTTACTTGTGATATTTTTACTTTTTATCGATTTACTAATCGATTTACTAACTATTATATAAGATTATACAAAGCGCATTCTTCCGCTTCTCAAAGCAAAGTCGTAATAAATCGATTATATTCTTTACAAAGAAAACCAAGCAAAGTAAATCAATCGAAAGTAGCTACGGATTTACTTCTCGATAAGCAAACTTAAAATAATACAAATTAAAACGTTCTTAGTGATATAGAAAACGAAAACGATTTAGAAAATTCAAATTCGAACAGTACGAACGAATCGATTAGCTTTAAACGTTATATAAACTATAAAAATAAAGTGCAACGAAGTACGATATTATATAATATACGCTTTTATTTAAATATAAATTCTAACTTAAATATTAGCGATAGCAAATTTATGCGATCAAAACGATTCGAATGATATTTCTTAATAAAATTATTTTAACGCGAAAGAAATATCAAGCCTTAAGCAAAGTGATAAAAAGATAATAAGTAAAAAAGAAGCTGATAGAATACTAGACTCGGATTCGCTATCTTATAGAACCTTAAATGCCGCTTAAACTTCGAAACTTAGTATTTCGAAACTTAAAACTCTTTTAATCGTTATTCAAAGTCAAAGTAAGTCAATTATTATATATAAGTTTAACGACTTTAAATCTAATACTTTTATAAGCGAACGAATTACAAATCTATTATTAACTTTAAAGCGCAAACGAATAAAAGAAAAAGAAGATAATAAAGCGGGATTAATACAAGATAAAAGGAAAGAAGCTTCTTTTAAAATCAAGCGTTTAATTGCAAAGAGTATCGCTTTTATTAAGTTTTATAATTAGCGACTTTGATTTTATTTATTGAATTGCTTTTTTTATATTATTAAGTTTTTGTATTTATTTGTTTACAATTGATTGCAATGATTAATTGAATTCTTTTTTATCGATATCTTTAGTTTTTTTATTATTATTAATATATATCTATATCGACCTTAGCTAGCTAGCTAAGAATACCGGTAATAGTAGTTAAAAGAAAAGTTCACCCGTAAACTATAGTTCACGGGTCAGTTAGCATGCTTCGCTTAAAATGTTATATTAATCAAAAGACTTTTAACTTAATTATAAAACTTTTTAATTAGCTAATGCACGTAATTCCTTTAATCATAAGTATTACTTTTATTAAACTTTAAAAGAGCTGATTCTTTTTATAACTATTAAGTTTTTTAGTAAAGTTAAGTTATTCGTAAAGCTATATAGCCCGTGAACTATAGTTTACGAGTAAGTTACGTGTAGCAGCTTTACGTACGTTAAGTATAGCAGCTTTACGTAAGTTACGTATAGCAGCTTTACGTGGGTTACGTGTGGCAGCCTTAAGTACGTTAAGTATGGTAGCCTTACGTA